CACACACACACACACACACACACACACACACACACACACACACACACACGTATAGATACATACATATACACATATACATACACACACCTACGCCCCCCTTTGCAAACCCAGCCCTTGAATTATCCATGGCATGCATATTATCATACACGTATTAACTCACATCAGGAAGTTACTTCATTTTGTCAGGACAGGACAAACATCAGGGGGGGAAAAAAAAAGAGAGATATGAGAAAGCTTTGAAAACCATATGACTATCACCAAGACACACTCCCCACCGCCCCTGGAGGCAAACATATGGCTTTGAGTTAAACATGGGAGTCAGGGAACAATAGTGTGAACGTGTAATTCACATTGCAGTGAATAGTACAGCTTTTCCATTCAGCAGAATGGAGCTATGGGGGATTACTGACTGCTCTGGGTACACCTGCTCTACTGTGGCACTGAAGCCATCCCGCGCTCATTCACTCATTCTGAGCACTAGCCGCTGTGAATTCTGGAGCAGCCTAGCCCTTAGCAATCAAGTTGGAAGTCACCTATTACTCTTCAAGAGTGGCTATCAGTCTTTCACATACTTAAGGAGAGTATTAATGATGTTCTAAAAGGCTTATAAGATAAAGACAGGACAGAAAACTTTCCTATGCAGTATAATCTCAACTAAGATATACACATATATATACGTGTATATAGAAAAAGCCGGGAAGAAAATGTGCCCAAATGTCTGTAAGCACTGCTCTCTAGGTGGTGGGCAATCACTTATTTTCTCCACAGACGCTGCTGGTTTTCTGCACGCACAGCTCCGACAGGCAGGCACACAGACGCCAGGTCGCCGTGGGGGCTTGAATCCTGGTCTTCCTGAACACCTTCTCTGGCCCTCAACTACAAAACATGGCTGGTTGCTAACAATCTGTGCTTCTAGGGCTTTCTCAAGGATACAGGAGATAGGAGGCACCTTGCAATGCCAGCCTTTATCAGCAGGCCTGGGGGCGAGGCCACAATCCGTGTGAAAAAACAACCTCAGGGTCACACAATGGCCAGAGGCAAGATGGTTCATATTTGTTTGTTATATTCCTGGCCTTGGACCTGCAAAACCAGAACCTAACAGATATACTATTCATCTGAAATGGGTTCTATTATTTTGTTTAGCTTGAGGCTGTGATAAGGTACAGCAAAGCAACAAGTTGTTACCAGCTTATCTTTAAGGGCTCAACAAAGAGACTCCTTTCAGAAAGGAGAAAAGTTCAGTTCAGGCTGATACTGGCAGAATGTTCCTTCCTGAAGAAAAGCAGGCAAAGGTCACGAATTTTTTTTAAACTAGTGCAAAGAAAGAATGAAGCGTCAACTGTGGATGTCTCTAGCACTGGCTTCAACAACAGTGCTCTCCTCATGAACTGATACTGGAAGACACTGGAGAACTTAAGGCCTTACCTTGGCCCGTCCAATCTCAAAGATTTCATCTGGGGTGTAAATAACTGCAGTTTCTGGCCGACTGATCCGAATGTAGCACATCCCCTACGGTGTAAATGAACACCAGAGCCACAGTTTAGAAAATCAAACTAAATTTCCAACTAATAAATCTCAAAAAGAAGTGGGGGAGCACCTAACAATTCTTTGTACTAATAACAAAATGTGCCTTTTGGAGTGAGGGCCAGCTGTCACGGGGTCAGGTTACTACGAAGGACCCTGCTGGGTGCCCTGTGACGAGCCCTCCACACTGTGCTGGCTCACCCATGTAGGAAAGCTTTCTCAAATATAAATCGATGTGTTGTGTCTCCACAGAACATAAACGTGGGGCAGGAGCACTGACTCACCTTGAATAGAAAGCCTACACAACACATGGGAAACAACTTTTGTCCCAACAGCTTCTAATGCTCCATCCTCAGAAGTACCTTAGACACCAGAATCTAAAATGACTATTTCTCCAACAAAAAGATGTAAATACGTTTTTTATCACCTTGAACATATAAACAGGAATGTAAATGAATACTCAAATGTCTAGAGTATTTGTTAATTTACATACATATTTAAATCATACATGATAAACCAATATATGAATTTAGGAACACTGATTCCTTTTGTTCATTTACGTGTTATGAACTAGTTCTATTCGGTGTATTTTTATGAGGTACAATTGACTTAAGTGGAGCATGCCCTGAATTCTGATAAGTTATACACCGTGTAACCATCTCCTGAGTCTGGATAGCATTTGCACCTGCCCAGAAAGTTCCCTCATGCCTCTCTCCCGTCACTCTCCCCACCCAAGAAGCAATCTCTATTCTGATTTCCGTCACCACAGCTTTGTCTCTTTTGAACTTCCCACAAATAAGATCCTGCAGCACACAAGATTGCACTGTACATGCAAGGACATAAAACAATGTCTATGATATAGCAAGTAGAAAAATCCAGAACTATGTGTGAGGCCACTTAGGTTTAAAGGAAAAAAGTCAAAGAAACTCATGTCTCTAACACGTTGGAAATGCTTGGAACGGAACTTGCACAACCCACCCCAACTGTGCCCAGGGTTGCCCGTGCAGGGGCATGGGTGTGTGCAGGGCTGCAGGGTGAGGTGAGTCTGGCGACCGCTAGCTAGAGTGGTTAGAAAGATAAAGATTCTGTCCCGTAGCCTCTGCTGCAGCTGGGTTCTGGACAGGAGTTAGGCTGTGTCCATCTGATGCCCTTGGGTGAGACTTCAGGAGGGGCAGGCAGGGCAGAAGCCAGACTTGTGCCCGTCTCAGCTGTTTCTGAGGGTGGGACAGGGCTGGGAACCCCAGGGTTTGTCTACAGTGGCCTCCCACTGGCAACTGTCCAGTTTTCTGATATCACGAGGTGGCAGCTGCACGGGCTGTGTCTAAGGCCAGCACATGATGGCTTGTCGCTGGAGCCCACTTCCGTGGCCCTGCCAAGGGCTCCCTGTCTCAGAGCCCCAGAGCACTTCCTCCTTCTTGACCCAAGACCCACCCGATACAGGTCATCAGGGGTTCGAAATTCTTCTGCACTGTTTTTTACAATGCGAATGTATTCATGTTCTTCGTGGTTCATCACCCTTTTTTGGGGCAATGGTTCTACTTTTAAAAGGAATCCTACAACCAAATTTCCTATAACGAATATCTATCTTCTTTATGCTGAGAAAAAAATGGGAAAAAAAATCAAACCATCAGTACCAAACTAGCATCAGAGCCCAGAAACATTTTCTGTCTGCACCAGTGTCCCCTTAAAAATACCTTGGTATTGGCCGCCAGCAACACAGCATGCTCCGTTGAGATGGCATCGCTTGGATAGAAAATAGTGCAGTTCGGAACCGTTCGGAACATGGCCAGATCCTCCAGGGCCATCTGGGAGGGGCTGTCTTCACCTGAGAAAGCAAAGCCATAAGCCAACAAAAAGATGAGCCTACTCTCTGTCAGTCAAGCAAGTGTGCTGGCATGGTGGCCACCATCGCAGCACACGCCACTGCCACACTCCGCATGAGGCTCCTCACTGACATTGCTAGCAACATGGCATAGGCCTCTTCTTGGCCCCAAGCCTCGCCAACACCTGGCACACAGTCACAGTGCTGCTGCCCTAAGTGACCCAACACTCCTCCCTGAGCACCAGGCCTCTGGCCCTGTTCTCTTCTCCCTAGCATGGCCCCCTCAGACTCTGTCATTTCTTCTCTGCTCTTCTACCTTCTCCATCAAGAGACTAAAGTTTTCAGACTCAAATGGTCTCATTCATTTCTCATGGCCTTCAAAGTAGCTGAGCATTACAGAACATAACCTTTGGGGTGCCCTCGGGGTGCTGCTGGAACTCAGGGGGCCTTCGTGTGTGGGGGAAAGAAACTCTGTGGAAAGAGAAAGCCCAATGTACACTAGGGTGGCCTAGCTCTTCCAGCTAGGAAGGGAACTGTCACCGTGTACACTGCCTGGCCTGGGACTGCTGTCTCTCCTCAGAACCCCAGCTCCTCTGGGCTGGACCTAGAGCCACTTCTCCACTTAGCTGAGTTGAAAACTTACTCCTCACCCAGCCCCAGGCAGAGAGCCCAGACCCCCTCTCTCCTTGCTCTCTTCCCCTGCATCTGGCCCATCCAGAGACTTCTTAGCCAGTCCTGCTCTCCCAGGAAGTCCCCAAGACGACACCCAAACATGCACTTCCAGCTCTTCCCTCCAGCATGTGGCAGCAAGTGCCCCATCTTTCTAGACTCCCCATTTCTGTCATCCACGGACACGACTCCCAGATGTTTCCCAGGCAAGAAACCCCTGGGGACTGGGGTTTTGCTGTTCTTGCAGTCTGAGACTCCTCCTTCTGTCAGCAATGTTGAAATCTTTCTTCAGGTTCTCACAGATTCGCCCGATTTTCTATCCACTGCTAACACACACCTCGGTCCTCCTCCTGGCTCCCGTGTTTCCCACAGTTTCCATGTAGCCCATCCACGGTTAATGCCCATGGGTTGGGTGCCTCGAGGTTTCCCATTCTGTCCAAGCAGGCTGCTCGGGCCAGCAGAGCCCTGGCAGGCTGTGCTCCTTGCTTTGCTGTGCCCATGCTGCTCGTCCCCACTTAGACTAAGGCAACCAGAGAGCAGTAAACAATTCGGTGATGCCAGGGTGACCCAATCCCTACCTAGTATGTGGTTTGACAAAGAAGAGGCACTCAGGACAGATAATTATTTCTTGGTGACAGAAAAAATGGGCACTTTTCAGTAATACCAAGAGATCAGCTCAAAAGTTACCCAGAGTGTCTGGAACTTCTAGAACATGACACGGCTTTTTTCAAAAAGGAGGTTATGATAACCGAACATTACGGAACCTTAAGTACGCCGGCAGTTCAATCTCTTACAGGCTAATCTTTCTCTGTAAAGGAGGAAGGCGATTAAGATGACGGCATTGAGGACTCATACCTATGGATACCCCGCAGTGGGACCCAATAAGGTTGATGCTGGTTCGAGAGATGGCTCCCATCCGGATCTGATCAAATGCTCGGGTCAAAAAGGCAGCGAAGGTGCAAAGAAAAGTAACCATCCGACCACGGGTGGCGCATCCCAGTGCCACGCTCACCTGCAACACAAAGAAGGTGAATCAGAACGCTCCCGGACCCCACTGCCCCTTCCGTTCCCCAGCACAGAGTGTGGGGATCTCAGGGAAATCTCTACTCTGCACCCTCTCACCTTGCCACCCCTCCCCCAGGCACCTACCTGGGAAAAACCCAAACCTGGCAAATCCACGGTGTCCCCTGAATGCTGCCAGAAAAGAGAGGAACTGCAGTGCTAACCCTGCTCCTTCAAATCCAAGATGTGGAAGCTCGGGACACTCAAGGCCGCCCTGCAGTCCCCGTGGGTCTCCTTCCTATCCTCTTCCCCTACCTTCTGTCCCCTCCCTGCCCCTTCGCATGCTTCCCCTGGGCACTTCCGGGGGCAGAGAGGGGAACAACGGAGGCTCTCCTATCCCATCCCCACGTCCCCACCGTGTCATTAGGAGACGGGACAGACCAGTACCTACTTGAGGCCCCCACTTGCCCACCCTGCTGAACCTCATCCTTCTCCTGCTTTCTCAAGGGCACCTCTGACCGTGCAATTATTCCCTCCCCTCCCATGTTTCCTCAGTTTCTCCCTCTCTGATCACTGAAGTGTGTGCTAGTATCTTCCATCTTCCCCCCTCACTTTCACCTTGTCTTCCCGCTCCAGGTGCTGCCCTTCGTCTATGTTCTCCTTCACAGGAAACTTCGCACCCTTCCTCATTTCCCACTTTCTGCCCGTTTCCCTTCATCTAGGCTGCCATTCCCTGTGAGGGACCCAGAAGCTGCCAAATGCAGAGGTCACCTGACCCTGTCTGCATCATATCTGACCTCTCGGGAGCCTCCAGCACTACAGACCACCCGTCTCACTGAACGCTGCTTCTCCTGCCCAGGCTGGTTCTGCTGGGCGGGGCACCTAGACTGAGTCCTGGGGCTCGGGCCACACTCCTCCTCATCTGTGCCCTCCCCGGGAACCAGCATATGGTCCCATTGTGTCACTCTGATGTGCTTGATGCTAACCACCCCCCTCTCTCTCTATTCTTCACCTCCCCTGGAACGCCAGGCTCACATACCCTGGCAGGTTTCAAACTAGAAGATGAACATCTTGGGGGTAAACAAAGACCGTCCAAGGGCAACATGGCCGTGGCTGGTCTCAACATCAAGATCCTTGACTCGCACGTCTGTCTGCCAGCAAAAGGGCCCAGGGCCTACTTCCCGCTGTCTCCCTGATAATCGCCTCCCAGTCACTGACTGCCAAAAGGCGCTCTCTCACCCACATCGGGTCCTTCAGTCGGGCAACATCCTGGAGATGTAAGAGCTCCGGATCAAAACGGAAAGGACAATTCGAAATAATCATAGCAGCCTTGAGAAACTACAGAACTCAAAAGGTTGGATAACAAATTCTTTTTTAAGTCAGGGGTTTTCCAATTCTTTTAACAAAACTGAAAGAGAACCTAATGCAACTGTCAACCCTTTATAAATAATTTTGCACCGACAACTGTACATGAAAGATCACTGTGTGATTTTTGGCTTATAACTGGGAAGGAATTCAAATGAATTGAATGATGTTGCCACAACAAAACTCTTTCCCTTCCCATCACCTTATTTATGTAAACAACATCTCTTTGCACTTACATCATTAAAATACGAATAGATTTTGTTCTGAAACTCGCCTCATTCTAGCTTTAAGTGTACTTAACCAATGCTACACAAGCTAATAATTATAACTGTAGCTCAATCCAGAAAAAAAAAATTGTAATGCTCCAAGGCCTATGGACATAGGAAAATTTTTAAAAACTATCAGCGTATATGCATATTTTTATTGCAGAAAAGAGCTGTCAATAAAAGGCTTTCCTGCATAAATATATTTGGGGAAGCAGAACGGAAATAAGAATTCAAGAGGAAAAACGGATTTAATTTCTGACAAAGAGAGCCTTCATGTAATTGGATGATTTGAGTATTAAAGTGTCACAAATTTCAATATATGGGAAATTATATCCTTTGCATCTACTTAAATCTGTGATGAAAAATTTAGATGTTAACTTAAAGCTAGGCAGAAAAATATCTAGTTTAGAAAAACACATTCAGCAGTTTGGAAAGCAAACACATTTGGAGATAAATGATCTATCCTCTAACCTACCTGGCACCCCCATCCCCATTCTAACAGGTACCCTGACCCCCCCACCCCAGGGCCCAAAGAGAGCTGTGTTCCCAAAACCCATTCCTCCCCCAGTCTTGTCCATCTCAGGAAGCGACACTCCTCTGTTCCCAAGTGCTCTGGCCTATGCCCTAGTGCCAGCCTTGGTTCCTGCCCTGACGCCTACCCCATGGCATCCTGCCAACTCTCCTGTCAAAGCTGATTCTGGATGAGTCTGCTTCTCTCCAACCCCACAGCTACTGTCCTGGTCCAAGTCGCTATCTCCTGTCACCTCCCCCACTTCCCCCAACAAGCTATTCTCCACACCGGCCTTTCTTTCTGCTCCCTAAACAGCTCAGATTTGGGCATGCCACAGAGCTAGCTGGGCCCTCTGCTGGGAATACCGTCCCCCCAAGATCTATGCATGACTGACTCCTTGTCACTTAAGTCTCAGCTTAAATGTCACGTCCTCTGAGACCTTGCTCCTGACTGGCCCTAGTCATGCTACCACTGTAGTCACCAGTTTCACCCGGTAGCACTGGATACTACCCACTTGCTGGCTGCTTCTTTATTCATTTTTTTCAGTTGCTGATTGAAAGAATCAATGAGTTAGGAAGCAAGCTTTTTGATAGGCGGCTTAATTCAGAAAATTATGAATTGTATTTTTTTCCATTCAAAATGGAAACAGCTTAGCTTAATGAGACCCACAGAAAAATGTACATATTCTTACAATTGCAATGACCTACTTTACTGAACAGGGGGGGCTTAAATTCCAACACTGACAGGGCCAGGGAAGCACCGTGAACAAATGAGCGGGCCAGCAGGATGCAGGGACATGGTGAGCTGGCTGTGGACCCCCATCTAAATGGGGCCCCTGCTTGGCTCCAGCTAACTGGTGGCAGGCAGGAAGGAATGTCGTTCCAATGTTGCCAGATCTTCCCAATCTTCAAGAGAATCCAGAAATTTGGATTCCATATAAAATTTCCTGACTTTTAAAAGCTGGCAGCTGGGACTTCCCTGGCGGTCCAGTGGTTAAGACTCCGTGTTTCCAACGCAGGGGGCGCGGGTTTGATCCCTGGCCGGGGAACTAAGACCCCACATGCCACATGGTACAGGCAAAAAAAAAAAGCTGGCAACTAATTTAAAATATTTGTAAATACTACTTGTTCCAAATACAATATCTCTGGTGGTCACGTAAGGCCTGCTGGCCCACAGATTTCTGGCCAGTGCTGTTTTTGGCCTCTACGATGTGAAGGTACATGTGCGCTGGCCTCTGCACTGGCACAGAGCTTTACAAGTCAAGGCGTTTACTTGCACAAACTCCTTTCTCTCTCTTGAGGGGAGTGTGTGCAGATATGTGCATGCATAAGAGACTCCTGCATTAACGTCATCCTGGGAAGAGACTGAAGCACAGATAAGCAGAACAGCTCTACCTAAGGCCACAGCACTACTGACATTCTTGAGGCTGCAATTAGGGCAACATTTGAATATCTAGGATATATTAGGCCCCATGCAACAAGGTGGAGAGAAAAACTACAGTCCCTTGTAGCTTTCACTCTATTGGCCTCTGGGATGCTGTAGGATTGCCTGGTTGTGGGATGGGCAGGGCAGGAAGAGTGGGGTCACCTAGAGCTACCAGGGAGCTGTGCATGCTTTAGGCCTGGAGGCCTGAGGGCAGATGGCTGGAGCCCCTCCCTGCAGTCCTGGAAGTCACCCCTCAGACTCTGCCGGGCTGCTCTGTACTTGTTTCTCCCGACACTTTTTTCCTCCATTTCCTTTGCTTTTATAAGTGGAAAGAAAAACTGTAACCCAGCACAGGCCTCCTATGTCTGGTGGGCCACTGTTTGTCAATGAGAAGGCTCCAGATGGCTGTTCCCAGCATACATACCATGCTTTGCTCAGAAGAACACTCAACGAAGTGCTCAGGGTGTTCCTTCTTGAATATGTCAGAGAAGGTGGAGTTCTTGCTGTCACCGTCCAGCACAACGACTCTGTCATTTGCACGGCCCAGCTTAGCCAGGGCCAGACCACATGCTTTCCGAGTAGCTATCTGGAAGTTAAACAGCAGAGTTTCTTAGAATGGGTTTAGAAGGAAGGTGAATTGGTAGAATTATAAATTGTCATCTACATTAATGAAGAAAGAAAATTTGTGATTCACCAATAATCTCCTTTAGGGTAATAAAAAAGGACTGCTAGCCAATCTTAAATCCATACTTGGCTCACTGGGTATCAATTTCCCCCAAATAAATTTATTCTTCTGTCCCATTCCTATAGTTGATTTAAAAATTTAAATTTCCCAAAATGCAAATGCCTCTGTGAGTGTTTAACTATAAAACTGATGACACTCACTGTAAATATTAAAATGTAGAACTTTACAAACATAATACAAATAATAAACAATTCCATTAGGATATTGTTTGAGATTGGACTCAACCTATGGATTAATTTAGGGGAGAACTGACATCCTTACAATATTGAGTTTTTCTATTAAAAAAAACAAGGTTTGGCATTTCCTCAAAGAGTTAAACAGAATTACTACGACCCAGCAATTCTACTTCTAGGTATATACCCAAGAGAAAAACACATCTATACGAAAGGTTGTACACAAATGTTCATTGCAGCATTATTCACAATAGCCAAAAGGTAGAAACAACCCAAATGTCCAGCAACAGATGAATGGATAAATAAAACACATGATATACCCATAAAACGGAGTACTGCCACCCCATGGATGAACCTCGAGAACACAGTGCTAAGTGAAATAAGCCAGACTCAAAACTTCGCATATTATATGATCCCATTTACATGAAATATCTGGAATAGGCAAATCCACAGACACAGAAAGTGGATTAGCAGTTACTAGGGGCTGGGTGGGAATGGAGAGTAACTGCTAATGGGTACAGGGTTTCTCTTCGGGATGACGGAAATGTTGTAAGGTTGAGTGTGGTGATGGTTGCACAACTCTGTCAGCATGCTAGAAACTACTGAATTGTACATTTCAAATGGGTAGATTATATCTTTATTATCTCAATAAAGCTGTTATTTAAAAAACAAGGTTTGCCTCCTCATTTATTTGTCCTTATTCATTCATCTAAACACTCTTAAAAATATTTTTTAAAACAGGCAATTCATGTAGATGAGTACAAAAGTCAAGTTATGAAAGAATATCGAGTGAAAAGGCCATCTTCCTCCCACTCTCCCAGTTCCTCTCCCCAGAGGTAAGGGAAATGACAGGTTTGTGTAGCATCCTTTTGGCAATGGTCTACTCACAAATACTTGGTGAGCATCTCATGCATACAAGGCATGAGAGCTTCTTTTAGGACTATAGTTTTATAAGTATCTTAACATAGACCTTATATACTTAAGTTTATTTTTAGTTATTTTAGTTTTTACTGCCACTGTAAAAGGGATAACCTCTCCATTTTATTAATATAAGAATCAATCTTTGCATATTAGTTTTGCTACAAGCTCTCTTTCTGGACTCCTCTTATTTCTAACCATTTTCTGTCGATTCTCTTGGGCTTTCCAGACATACAACTCTACCACCTGCAAAAAGGCTTGCCTTTTCATTGTCAGGACTGAGTCTTTTATTGTTAATGATCATAATTTCCCCCCTCCTAATACTGGTGAATGATATGCATTACTAATTTGAACTTCACTGATTCATATACTTCTTTAAGGTACTGAGTTGAGACCGGCGAACATTTTATTTAGAATTTTTACATCAATATTCATAAGTGAGGTTGGCCTGTTTTTTTCCTTTGGGATAGCACTATAACATTTTGGCTTCATAAATGTCTTTTTCCATATTCAAGAAGGTTTGAAATAGCCTAGGAATTCACCTATTCCTTGAAGGTTAAAATTAAGTCACTCTTGCAACTTAGTGAGCCTGGCACTTCGGAGGTATATAACTCTTGGACAGTTTTCTCAAATTTTTCTATGGCTGTTGATCTACTTAAGTGTTTTGTGTCTTTTTAGTCAATTTTGGTATTTTATGTATTCCTAAAAGAGGTCCATTTTTTTTTACAGGTTTTCATACCAATTAGCATAGTTTTCTCAAAATTCTGTTTTCTGCATCTGTGGTTGTCTCCTCTAGCGACTAATTTTATTCATTTATGATTTTCATCTCTTTAAGTAGGCTAGATAATAGTTTGTCTACTGTATTAGTAATTCAAAGAGCCAACTCTTTGATTTGTGTATTAATGTGACTTCTTGTTCTTTAATTCACTAACTTTTTACGAACTGGCCTGTTTCCTTAATTTTTCCTATTAGTAAAATATGAAAAGCTTCCAAAAAATGAAAAGCTTCCATAATCCCACCTACCTTACAGACATAAACACCTCATCATAATCAATGCTGCAATTGACATTCATTCTATTCTGCACACTTGCACAGGTGTTTCTGTAGGATAAATTCCTGTGAGTTGCACTGCTAGTTTGAAGGGTATGAACAGCTAAAGTGTTAACACATATTACCAAAGTAGCCTCTGTTTATATGTACTTTTCCCTTATTAATAGCATTCTTCTGCTTTTAAATTTGTTTTCTAATTTCTCAAATAGTCAATTCATTTATTTTACACCCATATTACCAGGCTAAGAAAACGTAGGTAACACTCAAAATGTCCCCAAATAAATAAATATTTCCTTCCTCCCAGGCTCGCCACCTTATTTCCTTAGGTTGTGAAGACCCTGCATACTTTGAATACAAAAGTGGTAACTAAAAGCAGAAAGGCTTTATGTTCAGGGTTTCGTGCCTAATTTGTTTCCTTTTTGAAGAACTGGTCTTTGATGAATTGACGTGTTTCCTTGTGTAATCCAGGGAATAAGCCCAACAGATCAATCCAGCCAGGCCCCCATCCTTTGAGAAGACACAGAAGCAAGCAAAAGTTGCATAGCAATGGACACAAATAAGCAGCGACTGACTGGTAAGAAAATTCAGACCTGAGTTGAGTTTGAAATCAAAGAATAAATATCAGAAACAGTAAAGGAGAAGGTAAATCCATATTTGTTGCTTATAATCTTTAGTTAAATATCACATCACCTAACAATTTATTCATTCCTGGAGATCAGAGTAAACAGAGTCCTCTGTATTTAGGAAAAGCAGAGAAAAAAGCAGTTTGCCTACCATGTCACCGACATTGTAAGCAGGTGGAGAGGTCATTTCTATATCTGTGATGTTGATTTGAGGTGAGTCTTCAACAGGGGGTTTTGGGTTAAGCTTCTTCTTGGTCTGTATCTGGCTCTCAATTAGTTTGATAATTGTTTCCACTCTTTCTTTTGGCATTGACCTTTCATGGCAATTTTCTGCATCCTCAACATCTGCAACCCAATGGATAAAACACATTCATTCCCTAAGTATCTAATGAGCTCCTATTTGGTCATCTGAAAGACATCCAGATGGAGAAGATGTCAGCCACAGAGTAAAAACCTGGCACAGGGGGCCTGAAATAGTACTACAGTCGCAGGAGACAGCCTTGACAAAGGCCGAGAGGCTCCTGAGGGGGCCACTGGCCCATGTGCTGGTGAATGGAGGGGAGAGAGGGAGATGAGGCTGGACAGGCAGAACAGACCATGGAGGATCTTATGGGTATAAGGAGTTTGAGTTCTGTCCAAAGCAAGATGGGAAACCACTGACGGGTTTGGAAGGGGGATGGTGACTGATCAGATCCATGTTGTAGAAGGGTCACCACAGCAGTCATGTGGGGGCTGGCTTGGGGAGACTGCAGTTAGGGAGAGATGACTGGGCCTGGGCAAGAGAGATGGAGAGGAGCAAACAGACTTGAGACGTATGTCAGGAGCAGAATCAATCAGAATCGATGACAGACTGGGTATGTGTGTAGGGGGCACATAAGGGAGAGGTGGAGGCAAGGACAATACCCAGGTTTCTTCCAGGAGCAAACTGGTCCAGTCATCATTTACTGAACGGGGGTACCAGAATAAGACTGTATTTTGAGAAGGAGTCATAGAAGAGTTTTATTCTAAAATGTCAACACTAAAAACACACCAGGAATCACACCTACTGCAACTATTTATACTTGAGATGAACAACTTCAGATGTCCACTTTGAAATCTGCAAGAAGAGTTTCAAAACCCCCTCCCTTCCCCGACCCTCAGTTCCACGGTTACCTTTCCCAGAGGCGCTGCTTTACTAGTGGCCTGTGTGTCCTCCCAGGTAGCATGGGAACAGGCTAGGGTGCTCGCAGGCACATACACTCACGTTTACGTATTTGCTCACGCTCAGCCCCGCTCTGGCTCTGCACTCCCGTGGAGATGGCTCCCTGCTGGTCGTCTAACTGACGGACTATCCTCTCAGCCACTCCCTCGCGCTTGCTTGCTGGGGGTCTGGGCTTCCTCCCCCTTGCCCTGACCAGATCTGCTATCTACAAGCAGGAAAAAGAGCAAAAGCGCTGGGCGCACGTCACAGGCATTATCACCGTGCATGAAGTCAGCTGTCTGCCCAGCTAGACTAAGCCTCTCTCCACCTCATACGCTAGGCAGGTTTTTGATAACCACAAGCAGGAAAGCAACACTTCCTTACGTGGCATGCCGTGGCCCCTGAAGGTCTTGGCAACTACAGCAGTGGGCTTGCTCTTCACTTGAGCCGCCTGCTGGAACACATGGCACAGTGCCTCCACATCGCGGCCATCCACCACGAAAGTACTCCATCTGTCAACCGAGAAGTGGGCCAGGTTAGAAGGCGAAGGGGGGATGGGGCAGAAAGAAGGTGCCACAAAACAGGACAGTTACCCAAAGGCTTCACAGCGCTTCTGAAAGAGGTCTACACAGTGCTCGAAGGGCTGGGTGCCGCTGTGGCACAGGTGATTCACGTCAAAGATGGCCACGAGATTGTCCAGACTGTAGTGGGAAGCAAAGGCCATGGCCTCCCAGACGGAGCCTTCCGAGGACTCGCCATCTCCAATGAGGCAGAACACCCGGTAGCTGGGGCAAGCCAAGAGACGTTAGGACCCTGCCTGGGGCTCCTCTGGGCGGCTCAAGCAAATATATTTCATGGAGAGAAACAAAGGAGGAGACTGAAGCAGCTGCTTCAGACCTAAGACAATTTTCCTTGTCAATGCTGCCCAAATTCCACAGCTGAGGAAATGCAGCTTTAAAAGCTTGGGCCTCACAACACGGGCTGCACCTTCGGCTAGTCTTCTCATTCTAGCTGTAAAAGTAATTTCTACATTCTTCTGCCACTCCTCTGGGCCCAACGAATAAGAGAAGATGGGGAGAAGGCAGCTCCCTTAAATGCCCAAACGTTTACATATATGGTTTCTTGATAAGCTCCATGTTAAGCACTGCTACCTTCTATTTCTGATCTTACAAATTTATATAAAATAATAACAATCAAAACATCCGACCTCAGGAGCGTTTGTTCTGTTATAAATATTAAACTCCTCCGCAGCAGAAACATGAAATGTTTAAACCACTAAAACACAACCCAGACCCCCCAAAAATGCTATAAATGAAGTATAAAAATAGTGATTAACCACAGGATAGGGACTAACAGAGGCAACAGTGAGAGACGCAAAAGGTCAACTGTGGAGGAAGCACAACAAAGTGCCTCCAGAGGGGCCACCTGGGCTGGAACCTGGGACTGAGGGGCTGCAGACTCAGGCACGCTGGGTGAACCATGGGAGTAGAACATGCACACCATCATGGCCAACCCTGAGCCCCCCAGGATCCTCCATCTTGCTGCTCCTACATCAGCAGCACCTGGGCACACACCCCTGCAAGAAAGGCATGGATCTGCCTGTCTTCAGGAAGGTGGACCATTCCAGAAAAAGAGACCTTTGATTAACATGTAGGTGTCCCCAATGGAAAGGCAAATACACCATCTGTTCACTCTATAGTGAACCTCACTGAGATATGGGAAACAGGAAGATGTATCTCTTAGTAAAAACTTGAATCCTAGGACTTCCCTGGTGCTCCAATGGCTAAGACTCCATGCTCCCAATGCAGGGGGCTCGGGTTCGATCCCTGGTCAGGGAACTAGATCCCACAGTGCTGCAGCTAAGACCTTGCATGCCGCAACTAAAGATCTCGCATGCCGCAACTAAGACCCAGCACAGCTAGCTAAGCAAACACAAGCAAGAAATAAACGTTTAAAAAAACTTAGACTTGAATCCTAATAAACTGTTTTCTTTCTTTTTAAAAATATTTATTTATTTATTTTGGCTGTGCTGGGTCTTAGTTGCAGCATGTGGGATCCTACAGTTGTGGCATGTGGGCTCATAGTTGCAGCATGCGGGATTCTTACTTGCGGCATGCATGTGGGATCTAGTTCTCTGAACAGGGATCGAACCCGGGCTCCCTGCATTGGGAGTGCGGCGTCTTACCCACTGGACCACCAGGGAAGTCCCTAATGAACTGATTTCTATACTGCAGGCAGCACTTAGGACCCAAACGGAGATGCTAGAACAGCATCATGAAATATGATTTCGTTTTACTCCTTGAGTACTTGGCAACCTGAACTTTTAACACAATCACTGTCTTCCCAAACTAATAAGCGATAAATAAAGCCAAAGTGCTGGGGGAGGGGGTCGGGGGGTGGGAACAGTTAAGTGGTTTCTGGGTAAGCGCCTTACCTGGCCTTGTCAAAGTACCTGCCAGTATATGCCATCCCACACGCGATCCCCAGTCCTTGCCCCAGCCATCCAGTTGCCACATTAACAAACGACAGTCTCTGTAAGAGAAGGGACCAAATGAATCTACACACCCTCATGCACCCCAAAGTGTCAGATCAACGTCACAAAGACAACAGAGTCACACGTAATCCAGCTGGTGAGGGCAACTGGAGCTCTGACAACATAGAAGTGGGAAGCTTCTGCACACAGCAGCCTAAACAGAGCCCAAGAGCAAAGCAGAAAAAAAATATAAGCACGAGTCTTGCCATTTCCACAAGACCTTTTATCTAGTTGTATACAGACCAGATATTCAATGTTTTTGGAGAATATGGACTCTTAAATAGAAACTAGAAACACTGAAGAAGATTTCAATTTCCCTGGTTTGTAAAACTCAAGTCAACTGAGATTTGAGAAGTGGTGATGTAGGAGGTTATGCTAGAAATAAATCACTTTCTACCACCGCTCCATTTATCCCCACTGACCTGCTTGTACGCACAGGCTATCACTGTCCCATGGAGAGAATGTGGCCCTATGAGGGCCACAAGGTGGTGCCAATGCCAAAGGTCTGCTGCACTAAGGCCTCACTCACTCCCAAGCTTCTGAAGAGATATCAAACTTATTCAACACTTCCGCTGCCACCATCTTGGCCTGGCCACAAACATCTCTTGCCTCTGTCAGAGCAGTGGCCTCCCTGCTTCCCTCCACAGTCGTTCTCAACACAGCCACCAGGCGGAGCACGATAAAACCGAAGTCCGCCCCTCAATTGCGGCGGAGAACTGTCCAAGGTCTCGTCATCTAACGTCAAGTAGGGCTCAAGTTCTTGCAGTGGCCTGTTCACTCCAGACCCCCATCACCTCCCACTGCTCCGGGTGCCTGGCCTCCTGGCTGTCCTTTGAACACGCCACGCACATGCCTGCCTCAGGGCTTTAGCAGGTGTGGCTCCCTCTCTGCTGAGTGCTCAGTGCTTGTGCCTAAATAAGGGCACAGCTTACTCCCTCACACCCTCCAAGTCTCTGCTCAAATGTCCACACCAAGGCTTTCCTGGACCATCTCTTTCACCTAGTACCTGCCCTCCACTCCCCTTGGATCTGGGATACTCAGCCCCATCTGACATGCTATTTCTGGATTTGTTTCTTGTCTGCCCCCTTCCTCCATTCAGATGGCAACTCCATTCAGAGACTGGTTTGTGTTCTCACTACCATGATGAGTGGATGGTACTTGTTCGTCTCAGATTCCTCTCCTGTTTTGCTCCACCCTACTGTTCTGCTCTTCCTGGGGCTCCTGACCTTCCTTAACTTTCTCTACGTGCTTTGTGCCCTCACAGATTCCTGTTTTGCATCTCTAGCCCCAAGAACTGTCCCACTGAAGTCTCTCTTGACAACGTCGCTAGCTTAGTCTTTCTCCTTACAGCTCCTATTTTACTCCTGTAACAAGCTCTGGCTCCCAGGTGCCTTATGTGCCCTTGGAGCGAGCCTGCGCTCTACACTCAGACCAACTCCACTTCCCCCCAGCTTTAACGCGGGGGACAAGTAAGCCCACTTCCATAAGGCTTTGCTCTCTGGGTATGATGGTGAGGAAAGCCCCGTTCAGGAAGCAAGAGGCTGTAGGATTAATTGAGAAGATTGATGGGGCATCAACATGATGTCTGGTATGGTGGAAGCATGCCAACATGGGTTCCCTTTCCTTTCCCAAGAATCATTTCGCTGTGGGGGGGACACTCACAACTGGGGGCCAATAATAAAGATGCACACAAGCTGCTGAAGGCACCCAGGAAAGAAAGCTTTCTCTTCCTGGTGGTACTTCTCATCTTTGTTCTGACACAAAGTATGCTTCAAGAACAAATTTACAAGAAGGCTTTTTGGTTCCTTCCCAGGCCTCCTTGGCTAAAGAAAACAAAAGAGCTGATAAAACAAAAACTAAGGCCTGGGCTTCCCTGGTGGCGCAGTGGTTGAGAGTCCGCCTGCCAATGCAGGGGATGTGGGTTCGTGCCCCGGTTTGGGAGGATCCCGCATGCCGCGGAGCGGCTGGGCCCGTGGGCCATGGCCGCTGGGCCTGCGCGTCCGGAGCCTGTGCTCCGCGGCGGGAGAGGCCGCAACAGTGAGAGGCCCGCATACCGCAAAAAAAAAAAAAAAAAACTAAGGCCTGGGTGGTGGACGGAGAGATGATGAGCACCTCAGTCAGTGCCATGGCCAGGCCTTAGCCAGCGGCCTCCTCATGCAGCTGTCTACATAGACACTCCTGCCCCGGGAGCACAGATTATGGAGACCCTGGCTTCTCGGCCTCTAGCAAATCCATTTACTCCATTCCCAACCAGAGCCAAGATGGACTATGCTCCTGAGTGTTTTCTTTTTTAAAAAAACTAAATTTATGGGCTTCCCTGGTGGCAGAGTGGTTGGGAGTCCGCCTGCCGATGCAGGGGACGTGGGTTTGTGCCCCGGTCCGGAAAGATCCCACATGCCGCGGAGCGGCTGGGCCCGTGAGCCATGGATGGTAAGCCTGTGCGTCCAGAGCCTGTGCTCCGCAACGGGAGAGGCCACAGCAGTGAGAGGCCACCAGGGAATTCCCACATCTTTCCCTTTTTTTAAAGTAAAGCTCTAAACACCCATACTTTGTTTGTACACCTATAGTTATTCAGTTTTTATGATGAAGGAAATTCAAGCTTACAGAAAAGTTGTACAAATAGTACAATGAAGTTCCATATACTCTTTACCTAAATTCGTTGACTATTACTAATGGACTTCGTTTGCTTCATCTCTCTTCCTCTACACACACGTTTTATTTATCCTTTGCCAAACCTCATTTGAGATTATGTTTTAGACACCAAGACAAGGATCACAACTACGGCTCCAGGTATTCTGCCTATACTCTGCCTCTGTCTTTACTTCCCGCTGCCCAGATCTGGGGTTTCTATTTGCACATGTCGTTCGACCAGTTGAGCTTTAAATGCTTTGCTCAGAACACAGCAAACTTTCAGACAGCATCAAAAGAGCTGCTTGTTCTTCTAGATCGACCTTGCTTTTAATATTTCTTTTCTTTCCTGTCCCCCAATGTCATGAGGTATCTCGTACTATAGCCTAATGAGAAACTCCTTATTGGTATTAGGTCAGATATGCAGAGAAATGGAAGAGAAAGCTGATGGACAGGTGGGACATCCCTCCAAATCAAGCTCAACGTTCCTCGAGTTCAACAAGTTGGATTCACTCATGTGGCCCTCCTCTACCCAGGTGGCAGAGGATCGGAGCAGCACGACCCTGACAAGGGGGGCTTTAGTGGGGTAAAGTGAGGCAACCATCAAAGGAAAAGAAGGACTGCCAGCTGCCACAAGTCTTCCTTCCCACCACGCAGCCCTCACTAGAACACCTTTTAGATCTTTATGAGGTGCCATGGTCTGAATGTTTGTGCCCCCTCCCCAGAATCCATTATGTTGAAAACCTAATGCCCAAGGTGATAGTATTAGGAGGTAGCAGTCTTTGGTTAGTGATTAGGTCATGAGGGCAGAACCCTGAAGAGTGGGGTTAATGCCCTTATAAAAGAGACCATTTCTCCTTACATTACACGAGGATACAGTGAGAAGTCTGCCACCAGGAACAGGGCCCTCACCAGAGCATGACCATGCTGGCGCCTTGATCTTAGACTTCTAACCTCCAGAACTGTGAGAAATAAATTTCTATTGTTCATAAGCCACCCAGTCTCTGGTGTTTTATTATACCAGCCTGAACAGATGAAGCCATGAGGCAAAGAGAGAAGCACCAAAAGGATAAACAGAGGCCATTTCAGGTCTTGTTGCCACATGGTGGCTTTTAAAATGAGTTCAGGAACCAAGTGTCTGAGCATGGGTTCTTATGCCAGCTTACCTTGGAGAGGACGAATCTGTCATTGTTCGGGTTCTCCGGGTCCGTGAGTTTATACCTCATGATGTAGAACAACAGCACGGACATGATCTCAGATGCACTGCTGCACAATATGGGGTGGCTGAAAGACATGGCACAGGTCGTTTCTCACAGGCAAGTGACTCACCAGGGACACATACAGTGCATGAGGAGGGCTTTCAGCACATGGTCTCCTCAAACTGGAAGCAGCAGTCATTTCTCCCAGCCTGAAAGAATCCAGCCAAGGGAAAGGGATGCTGGGCCACTGCCCACCAAGTTCACAGCTTTTAAGGATGCTTTGAGGCCCTGGAACCTCACAACTCCTCTCCCTGTAGGGAGCAAGACCACACAGACCAGCCCCCTTCTATCAGTGGAGCACCGGCATACTTGGGGAAGTTCGCCTGGTGACTCTGTAAGCATTTGAGTGTCATTTCACTTGTATGAATTCATCTGTGATATCATTAATCAGAAATTTCACAAAGCAGAAATAAACCCACACGTATGTGGTCAACTAATTTTTGATGAGGGAGCCAAGAATACTCAATGCAGAAAAAACAGTCTCTTCAACAACTGATACAGGAAAAATTGGATATTCACATGTAAAAAAATGAAACTGGACACCTATCTTATACCACTCACAGAAATTAACTTGAAATGGATTAAAACTTAAAGGTAAGACCAAAAACCATAAAACTCCTAGAAGAAAAACATAGGCACTACACTACTTGACCTGAGTCTTCACGAGGATTCTTTGAATCAGACACTAAAAGCAAAAGCAAAAGCAACAAAAACAACAAACAAAAACCAAATGGGACTGAACAAAACTCTTCATGGCAAAGGAAACCATCAAAAAAATGTAAAAGCAACCTACTGAATAGGAGAAGGTATTTGCAAATCACATATCTGATAATGTGTTTATATGGAAAATATATAAAGAAGTCACACAATTCCATAACAAAACAACAAAAAGTCCTCTTAAAAATGGTCAAAGGATCTGAATAGGCATTTTCCCAAAGAACACATACAACAGGCACATGAAAAGGTGCTCAACGTCACTGATGATCAGGGAAATTGCAAGTCAAAACCACAATGAGATATCCCCTCACACCTATCAGAACGACTGTCATCAAAAAGATGAGTTAACAAATCTGGCAAAGATGTGGAGAAAAGAGAACCCTTGTGCACTGTTGGTGGGAATGTAAATTAGAGGAGCCACTATGGAAAACAATATGGAGGATCTTAAAAGAAAACAACAACAAACAAACCACCATATGATCCAGCAATTCCACTACTGGGAGTATATCTGAAGAAAATGAAAACACTATGTGGAAGAGATATCTGCACCCCTACGTTCACAGCAGCACTATTTACAATAGCCAAGCTATGGAAACAACTGAAGTGTCTGACAGATGAATGGACAAAGGAGATGTGGTACAGATATATAATGGAACATAATTCAGGCACAAAAAGGAAATTCTGCCATTTATGACAACATGGATGGGCCTTGAGAACATTATGCTAGATGAAGTAACTCACAGAAAAAGAAATACTGTATTATTACACTGTGGAATCTAAAAAAAACCCCAAACCCAAACTCATAGAAAAAGAGATCACCAGATTTGTGGTTACCAAAGGTGGGGGTTGAGGGGAGGAGGAACTGGATGAAGGTGTCGAAAGTTACAAACTTCCAGATATAAAATAATTAAATACAGGGCTTCCCTGGTGGCGCAGTGGTTAAGAATCCGCCTGCCAATGCAGGGGACACGGATTCGAGCCCTGGTCCAGGAAGATTCCACATGCCGCAGAGCAACTAAGCCCATGAGCCACAACTACTGAGCCTGTGCTCTAGAGCCTGTGCTCTGCAACAAGAGAAGCCACAACAATGAGAAGCCTGCACACTGCAATAAGGCCCCTGCTCACCACAACTAGAGAAAGCCAGCGTGCAGCAACGAAGACCCAACACAGCCAAAAAAACAGACAAACCCACAAAACTCCACAAATAAGTAAATAAATTTTAAAAATAAATAAATAAATACTTGGGATGTAATATATAACAAAATGACTATAATTAACACTGTTGTATGATATATTTGAAAGTTGTTAACAGTAGATCCTAAGAATTCTCATTACAGGGAAAAAACATTTTTCCATTTTTTGGTATCTATGAGATGATGGGTAATAAATAAACTTACTGTATTTATCATTTTACAATATATGTAAGTCAAATCATTATCCTGTATACCTTAGATAGTGCTGTGTGCTCAATTACATCTCAATAAAACTGGGAAAGAAAATTTTAAAAAAATCCAACAAAGAAAACGCATTCTACTTCCTAAAATGAATTTCTTTTAGGAAGTGAATGGTCAGACCGAGAAGTTTCTCGTTGTGGTGTAACTTGAGGCCCTTATAGAATGAAGAAACTGCTGCTCTTAGAAAGCAGCCTGCATGGGAGTCCAGACAGTCTGCCATTAATTAATAAGGGGAGGAGGTGGCAGGGCAGAGGACAAAACCAACTCCCTAGAGCCCTGCCACGCCCCAAAAGTCAGAAGAGTAACATTTTAAGCCCAGCTCATGTGTATTAATAATCTCCCCTTTCAAGTTTCACAATACAGAAAATGGAGAGTTAAACCTCTTGCCTTTGCAAGTATCCCAAGTGGATAATTTGAATTTAAAAGCTGTTACGGATCTCTTGAGAAAATGCAAACTGTTACTAATTTTGAAGGTGAAGGGGGCAAAATGAAAATGTAAAAAAAAAAAAAATCCAAAACCATGCAGGTCTTAAACTCATTGACATTGCCTTTTTAAAGTTATAGCACAGGCTGGAGAACAAAACTTAAAAAAGATATCACACAAACTATTTTATCTTACCAGGACAGGGTGAAGTTAGAAGTCAATAATAGAAAGAAAATGGTAAAATTCACACATTTGTGGGAATTAAACAACACACTCTTATAATAACTTTAAATGGGGTATAATACATAAAAGCATTAAATCACTATACTGTACACGCGACACTAATGTAAGAGTCGACTATACTTCGATTAAAAAAGAAAACAACCTTCCCCCACAACGCACTTAAACGAACAATGGGTCAAAGAAACTTCAAGAGAGTTGGAAAGTATTGAGACAAATGAAGAAGAAAACATAAGACACCAAAATTTATGGGATGTGGCAAAAGCAGTGACAAGAGATAAGTTTATAGCTGTAAATGTTTGCATTAAAAAAGAACGATCTCTGGGAATTCCCTGGTGGTCCAGTGGTTCGCACTCGGCGTTTTCACTGCAGTGGACACAGGTTCGATCCTTGGTCGGGGACCTAAGATCCCGCAATCTGCACAGCGCGGTCAAAATAAATAAATGAATAAGTAAATAAAACTTAAAAAAAAGAACGATCTCAAAGAAGAAAACCTAACTTCACAACTTAGTAACTAGGAAAAGTAGAACTAAACCCGAAGCTACCAGAATGAAAAACGTAATAAATATTATTGCAGAAATAAAAGACTAGGAAAGCAATGTAGAAAATGAACCAAAACAAAAGCTGGTTCTTTGAAAAGATCAACAAAATTAATAAGCCTTGGGCTTCCCTGGTGGCGCAGTGGTTAAGAATCCGCCTTAACCCACCAGGGTTCGAGCCCTGGTCTGGGAAGATCCCACATGCCGCGGAGCAGCTAAGCCCATGCGCCACAACTACTGAGCCTGCACTCTAGAGCCCGCGAGCCACAAGTACTGAGGCCCGTGCGCCTAGAGCCCGTGCTCCACAACGAGAGCCCTGCGCACCACAACGAAGAATAGCCGCCCCCCCCCAAGCCCGCACGCGCGGCAACGAAGACCCAACGCAGCCAAAACAAAAACAAAAACAAAAGCCTTTAGCTAAAGTAAGGAAAAAACAGAAAATTACTGAATTTACTAAATCCGATTTGAAATTACTAATTACATTTCAGGAATGAAAGTAAGGATATAACCACCGATTCTACAGACATAAAAAGGACTATAAAGGACTGTGAACAATTGTACGCCAATAAATCAGTTAACCTAGAAGAAATTTTTAGAAATAGAAAATCTGAATAAACCTACAATAAGGAGATTGAATCAGTAGTCGAAAAGCTCCGTGACAAAAAAAACACTTTGAACCTGATGGCCTCACTGGTGAATCCTCAATCCTCCTCCAACTTTCCCCAAAAACTGAAGGGAACACACTGAAACTCACTCTGGGGCCAGAACTGCCTCCACACTAAAGGCAGACAAATACCTTCGGGGAAAACGGACGGCTGACATCTCTCACGAATACTGACGCAAACATCCTCGACAAAGCACCAGCAGAACCAACAGTCCCCTTTCGCTCCGATTCCTGCTCGCCTATTACTTTCTTCTAGGCTTTATTTCCTTAACTCCACGTCCTGGGTCGGGACCCTGGCGTCGAGGACAACCACTCACACGGAAAACGCCGGGCCGCTCCCGCTCCCACTCTAGCCGGGCGGACGCAGGCGCTCCGCCCGCCGGCCCGCGTCCCGGCTTCTCTCCGCGAGCAGGAGAGGCCGGAGGCCCTGGGCCGCCACCGTCGGCCGGCCGCGGGCCAGCGAGGCGCGGTACCTGAGTACGTGGCCAGCGGCGGCCACGAGTGTGCGGGTGGCTGCCAAGCCCTGAGGGCCTGAAATGGGGCCACTAAATAACGAAGCGCACCCCGCCCCCGACGGCTCCGTTCAACTCTCTCCCCGGCCGTCGCCGCAGGGCCGGCCGCGCAACGACCGGAGCTTCGACCAGGGCGCCGTACCGAAAGCCTGAGGCGCAGAGGGTCCTGATGGCGTGGAGGCGCAGGCGATTGGCCATGTCTCGCAGCACCTGCAAGATGTCCTCGTCAATCTTGGCTTCTTCCGCCATCGTTCCGCTCGCCTCCTGTTCAGCCATAGCTGAGATCTCGCCCACGTGTGAGGAGCAAACGGCGCGAAGCCTCCTCAGCTAGCCGCACGCGCGCCGCTCCCTCCGCGCGCCGCTCCCTCCGCGCGCCGCTCCCTCCGCGTCTGAGGAGCAAATGGCGCGGAGCCTCCTCAGCTGGCCGCAGGCGTGCCGCTCCCTACGCGCGCCCTCCAACTCCATGGATTTTGAACAATTGTTATTCATATGTTGCACATTATTCGAAATAATTTAATTCTTTTATATCTGCCCTCGTCCTATCAATTCAAAGAGGGCTGCCTACACGCAGGACCAGGTCTACTTTTGGGGTGATAAAAAAATTCTGGAAGTAGATGGTGTGATAGTTGCGCGATGTGGTGACTGTAGTAAAGGAGGGCCGATGCATTCACAGGCTTTAAAAGAGTTATTGATACAATAGTGCAGTTTGTTTTGCGCACTTCCTCACACTATAAAAAAAGCCACGCTGGAATCTTCCCCTTTGCAGCCGCCTCCCTCCAGCCCCTTAGCAGCCCAGCCCCCGGCAGTGGGGGTTGGGAGGTCTTCACAGCAAGTGAGGCGGCCTGCGTTCTGAGGCAGTGTGGCGTCTCTGCGCGGACCTTCTTTCTCTTTCTAGAACTTTCTGGACGGCCAGCCGGCTCACGGGCCCAGCCGCTCCGCAGCATGTGGGATCCTCCTGGACCGGGGCACGAACCCGCGTCCCCTGCATCGGCAGGCGGACTCTCAACCACTGCACCATCAGGGAAGCCCGAGAACATCTTTTTTAATCATTTGATTTATGTCTGCCTGATTTCCTTGCAGTTGCACATTTTTCATATGTTTACTGGTATTCATAGTTCATCCTTTCTACCCTTTGCTGTTTTTATGTTTGATGATTTGTTTTTAGCTTCCTAATTTGTAGGAGTTCTTTATATGTTGATTAGCCTTTTATCTCTTAGAGATAATTGCAAATCTTTTTTTCTTAATCTGTTGCTCTTTAAAAATGTTCATGGAGATACTTTATTTTTAAGAAGAAGCAAGTGTTTGAACCGAAACCGAAATGTTGCTTCTTAACTTTATGCTTCCTTCACCATAAGAAGGTTTAAAGATTTTTTTAAACTGTAGTACAATATGTAAATCTTTTCCTTTATGGCATTTTAGTTTGAGACTTGTTCAAAAAGGTGTTCTCCACAGAGAGATTATAAAAACATTTCCTATTGTGTCCTTCTGATACCTTTAGAGTTTCATATTTATATTTAGTTCTCTATTCTGTCTCGACTTCATTATTGTATGCGATGTAAAGTAGCACTCTAATTTAGTTTTATTCAGATAGCCAAGTATCCCAAGACCATATTTATTTTTCGTTCCCAAAATTTCTTAGCTATTCTTTTGCATTTTGGAATTAGCTAATCTAACATTCATAAGACATTCCCATTGGGTTTTTAACTGTTATTTCATTGAATTTATAAGTTAATATGTAGAGGGCTGACATATTTACAGTATTGAGTCTTCTCAAGGACATGGTATACAGCCATTGATAATCACATCTTATTGCCATCCTATTTTGTATTTTCTACTTAACCTGATATCTCATTTCTTTTTGTTCCTCCTTTCCTTCCCCTTTTTGGATTAATCAAGTTCCTTTTTTTCTGCCCTTGATTATTTGGATGTTATTTACCTGGCTTTTTTCTACTGGTTGCCTTGAATTTTTTTTCACCAACATATTCTTCTGTCAGTTTTTAGTTTTATATGATATCTATAAAATTCCTCAATAGAACAAGTCATTAGCAAATTTTAACTTTCCCTATTAGCTACTTTCTTTAAAAATACTTAGTTCTTTCATTTATCAGTGCTACGTATGAACATTGTTTAAAGCAGGGGTCAGCGCACTGTTTCCGTAAAGGGCCGTATAGTAATATTTGATGCCACATGTTCTCTGTTGTAGCTGCTCAACTAGACCTTTGTTGTGGCACAAAGGTAGCCATACACTATATGTAAATTAATCAGTGTGGCTGTGTGCCAGTCACACTTTGTGGACACTGAAATTTGAATCTCATATAATTTTCACATGCCACAAAATATCCTCCTTCTTCTGATTTTTTTCAACCATTTAAACACGTAGAAACCATTCTTAGCTCACACCTGTATAAAACCAGTCCGTAGTTTGCCAACCCCTGGTTCAAAGAGTTAAATGGTTCTACAAGGTTTATTACAAAAAATAGCGATCTCTACAGGACTTCCCTGGTGGTCCAGTGGCCAGGGCTCCTCACTCCCAATGCAGGGGGCCCGGGTTCGATCCTTGGTCAGGGAACTAGATCCCACATGCTGCAACTAAGAGATCGCATGCTGCAACTAAAGATCCTGCATGCTACAACTAAAGATCCTGCATGCTGTAACTAAAACCTGGCACAGCCAAATAAATATATATTTTTAAAAAATAGCAATCTCTTGCTTCCACCCACAGTGGTCCATCCATTCCCCAGAATCAACTACATTCAACCCTTTTAGCTGTTTCTTTTGGCATTTACCTCTAGTTCTGTAAATAAATTGTTTATAGTGCTGTTTCTTTATTTTTTAGATTTTGGGAATTATCGATTGACTTCTCACAGTTAAAGATGATGATGTAGCTCTTTCACCACCCCCATCCTTCCAGTACAGTATACAATCATCTGCATTAGATTATTCTTTGATGTTCACGTTATCAAGTCTACAGCAACTCTGATGACTTTTCGTTTCTCTCCTGATGTTTTGTTTTCCTTAGAGTTAACACTTGTCTCTCCCTACCCCGTGTTGCTTGTTCTCTACTACTTATTATAGGTCAGCACTTCCCCAAACTGGCTATATCTCCTCTCCAGCTGCTGAAAGATGTCCTGCATATTTCATTCACTTGGAGCACTCTCTCCTGGAGCCTTTTGACTTGCCCTCCAGGCCCACTGCCCAGCTGCCATCATCCTGGAGAGTGCACTTGCCTTTCTTTTAGCTTGGGGCCCCAGTTTCATAAATCCCATCTCTACCTCTGTCGTAGGTTCCTGTCTGGTTTTGGTGGCACGTCTTCTCTAGTAGCTTCCAGAAAAAGAATGCAGAGGAAGTAAACTATTTGAGTTCTTTTATGTTAGAAAACGCCTTTAACCTAAAAATTGACAGTTTGGTTATAGAATTATAGTTGAGAAAATCGTTTTTCCCCCAAATTTGGAAGGCATTACTTCATTGTTTTCTAATTCTTAGTGCTTCACTGAAAAGGCTGAAGACATTCTGTCTTCTGATTCTTTGAATGTGACCTTTTTTTTCTCTCTCTGACAGTTATTCTGTCGGCATATTGAAGATATTATTCAACTCTTCAGGATTTCATTGATGCCTTAGAGAAGGCAGCTTTCAGTCTAAAAGTCATGGTTTTAAAGGTAATCAACTTTTACAATCTGGCTGCTTCTAAGATCTGTGTCTAAGTGTGGATCTATTTCCATTTTATCCTGTTTGGGATCTCTTGAGCTTCTTTTTTTAAAAAATTAATTAATTAATTTATTTTTGGCTGTGTTGGGACTTCGTTACTGTGCATGGGCTTTCTCTAGTTGCGGCAAGCAGGGACTACTCTTTGTTGCAGTATGCGGGCTTCTCATTGCGGTGGTTTCCCTTGTTGTGGAGCACGGGCTCTAGGCATGCAGGCCTCAGTAGTTGTGGCTCACGGGCTCTAGCGCACAGTCTCACTAGTTGTGGCACACGGGCTTATTTGCTCCGCAGCATGTGGGATCTTCCCGGACCAGGGATTGAACCCACGTTCCCTGCATTGGCAGGAGGATTCTTAACCACTGCACCACCAGGGGAGTCCCTTGGGCTTCTTGAATTTGTGGATTTATGTCTGTCATCAGTCCTGGAAAATTCTTAGTGACTATCTCTTAGAACCTTGCTGTTACCTTAGTCTGTCTTCCTGAGGCATGGCAGTTAGATTTTTTGTTAGATTTTCTCATTCTATCTTCTGTGTCTCCTATTTTTCAATTTTATTCAAATTTTATATTTCTTTGTGCCTCTGTGCTGCATTCTGGATGCTTTCTTTAGTTCTGTTTTACAATTTACTAATTCTCCAGCCATTTCTTATCTGTGATTAAAACCATCTCTTGAACATTTAAAAACTTTAAAAATTTGTGAAATCCATGCAGAGAAAGCTTTCAACAAAATTCAACACCCATTTATGATAAAAAACCTGCAGAAAGTAGGCATAGAGGGAACTTTCCTCAACATAATAAAGGCCATATATGACAAACCCACAGCCAACATCCTCCTCAATGGTGAAAAACTGAAACCATTTCCACTAAGATCAGGAACAAGACAAGGTTGCCCACTTTCACCACTCTTATTCAACATAGTTTTGGAAATTTTAGCCACAGCAATCAGAGAAGAAAAAGAAATAAAAGGAATCCAAATTGGAAAAGAAGAAGTAAAGCTGTCACTGTTTGCAGATGACATGATACTATACATAGAGAATCCTAAAGATGCTACCAGAAAACTACTAGAGCTAATCAATGTATTTGGTAAAGCAGCAGGATACAAAATTAATGCACAGAAATCTCTGGTATTCCTATACACTAATGATGAAAAATCTGAAAGAGAAATTAAGAAAACACTCCCATTTACCACTGCAACAAAAAGAATAAAATATCTAGGAATAAACCTGCCTAAGGAGACAAAAGACCTGTATGCAGAAAATTATAAGACACTGATGAAAGAAATTAAGGATGATACAAAGAGATGGAGAGATATACCGTGTTCTTGGATTGGAAGAATCAACATTGTGAAAATGACTCTACTACCCAAAGCAATCTACAGATTCAATGCAATCCCTATCAAACTACCACTGGCATTTTTCACAGAACTAGAACAAAAAATTTCACAATTTGTATGGAAACACAAAAGATCCCGAATAGCCAAAGCAATCTTGAGAACGAAAAATGGAGCTGGAGGAATCAGGCTCCCTGACTTCAGACTATATTACAAAGCTACAGTAATCAAGACAGTATGGTACTGGCACAAAAACAGGAATATAGGTCAGTGGAGCAGGATAGAAAGCCCAGAGATAAACCCACGTACATATGGTCACCTTATCTTTGATAAAGGAGGCAAGAATATACAGTGGAGAAAAGACAGCCTCTTCAATAAGTGGTGCTGGGAAAACTGGACAGGTACATGTAATAGTATGAAATTAGAACGCTCCCTAACACCATACACAAAAATAAACTCAAAATGGATTAAAGACCTAAATGTAAGGCCAGACACTATCAAACTCTTCGAGGAAAACATAGGCAGAACACTCTATGACATAAAGCACAGCAAGATCCTTTTTGACCCACCTCCTAGAGAAATGGAAATAAAAACAAAAATAAACAAATGGGACCTAATGAAACTTCAAAGCTTTTGCACAGCAAAGGAAACCATAAACAAGACCAAAAGACAACCCTCAGAATGGGAGAAAATATTTGCAAATGAAGCAACTGACAAAGGACTAATCTCCAAAATTTACAAGCAGCTCATGCAGCTCAATATCAAAAAAAAAAAAACCCAACCCAATCCAAAAATGGGCAGAAGACCTAAATAGACATTTCTCCAAAGAAGATATACAGATTGCCAACAAACACATGAAAGAATGCTCATCATTATTAATCTTTAGAGAAATGCAAATCAAAACTATGAGATATCATCTCACACCGGTCAGAATGGCCATCATTAAAAAATCTACAAACAATAAATGCTGGAGAGGGTGTGGAGAAAAGGGAACCCTCTTGCACTGTTGGTGGGAATGTAAATTGATACAGCCACTATGGAGAACAGTATGGAGGTTCCCTAAAAAACTAAAAATAGAACTACCATACGACCCAGCAATCCCACTACTGGCATATACCCTGAGAAAACCATAATTCAGAAAGAGTCATGTACCACAATGTTCATTGCAGCTCTATTTACCATACCCGGGACATGGAAGCAACCTAAATGTCCATCAACAGATGAATGGATAAAGAAGATGTGGCACATATATACAATGGAATATTACTCAGCCATAAAAAGAAAGGAAATTGAGTTATTTGTAGTGAGGTGGATGGACCTAGAGTCTGTCATACAGAGTGAAGTAAGTCAGAAAGAGAAAAACAAATACCGTATGCTAAGACATATATATGGAATATAAGAAATAAAAAGGTCATGAAGAACCTAGGGGCAAGGTGGGAATAAAGACACAGATCTACTAGAGAATGGATTTGAGGATATGGGGAGGGGGAAGGGTAAGCTGGGACGAAGTGAGAGAGTGGCATGGACATATATACACTACCAAATGTAAAATAGATAGCTAGTGGGAAGCAGCCGCATAGCACAGGGAGATCAGCTCGGTGCTTTGTGATCACCTAGAGGGGTGGGATAGGGAGGGTGGTAGGGAGGGAGACGCAAGAGGGAAGAGATATGGGAACATATGTATATGTATAACTGATTCACTTTGTTATAAAGCAGAAACTAACACACCATTGTAAAGCAATTATACTCCAATAAAGATGTTAAAAAAATTGTGAAATCCGGCATATGCATATAAAGGTGCAGAAAACATCAACATTTAGTTTAGGAAGTAATGTTAATGTAAACACACATTTAATTGCTATTCGGATCAAGTACACTAGCCTCCTCATGTCTCTCCAATCACCATCCCCTTCTCCCACTCTAGTGGGAACCACTATCGATGTTTATGCTACTGAAGCCCATGCTTTTCTTTCTTTTTAAAAATTAATTAATTAATTTATTTTTGGCTGCATTGGGTCTTCATCGCTGCTTGTGGGCTTTCTCTAGTTGCGGCAAGCGGGGGCTGCTTTTTGTTGCAGTGCACAGGCTTCTCATTGTGGTGGCTTCTCTTGTTGCAGAGCACGGGCAGGCAGATTCTTAACCACTGTGCCACCAGGGAAGTCCCCATGCTTTTCTTTACAGCTTTACTTCCTTCCTGTGTATGCATCCCTAAACAACATCATTTCATTTTGCCTGCTTTTGAACTTTATATCAGCAGAACCATATATAGTATGGATTCTTCTGTGTTTGGCTTCTTTTGTTCAACATTATGCTTGTTCATTCATGTTTTCAAGGCTGTAGTTTATTTTTATTGTTGTATAGCAGTAAACTGTTGAATATATTACAGTTCACTTACACATTCTATGATGATAGGCCAGGTGGGTTGTTTCTAGCAGCTGGTTATTGGGAGTATTATTGTACCTGCCTTTCAAGGATATATCTAGGAATGCAACTGCTGGGCCATTCAGTATGGATGTCTTCAACTTTATGATATTACCAAATGCTTTCCCAAAATATTTGTACCAATTACTCTCCCACCAGGAGTGATTGAGGGTTCCTGTTGCTCCATGTCCTTTCTGAGATTTATTATAGTTTAAGTTTTGCCAATCTGCTAGGTGCATAGTGGTATCACATGTTTTTTTAAATATCAAGGAATAATTTGCATAGAATAAAATACACAGAACCAAAATATCTATTACACTATAATCACTCCTTGCTTCCCACTGGGAGAGCATTTTCAGATTGAAAACAGTAATGAAGGGCTTCCCTGGTGGTGCAGTGGTTAAGAATCCGCCTGCCAATGCAAGGGACACGGGTGCGAGCCCTGGTCCGGGAAGAACCCATGTGCAGCGGAGCACCTAGGCCTGTGTACCACAACTACTGAGCCTGCACTATAGAGCCCGTGAGCCACAACTACTGAGCCCACGTGCCACAACTACTGAAGCCCGCGCACCAAGAGCCCGTGCTCCACGAGAGAAGCCATGACAATGAGAAGCCCGCGCACCGCAATGAAGAGTAGCCCCCGTTCGCCGCAACTAGAGAAAGCCCGCGCACAGCAACGAAGACCCAACGCAGCCAAAAATAAACAAGTAAATTAATTAATTAAAAAAAACAGTCATGAAGGTGCTTTTAGTTAAAAAGTAGAAACAGAACAGAGGCTCCACCTGTCTTGGCCTCACCTACCTCTCCTACCTCATCCTTGTCCACTGTACCATGGTCTCCTGTGTTCCAGTTAGGCTGCTATGTCCATCTTTATTTTAGAGATGAGAAAACCGACCCTCTGAGCGGTTTATTAACTTACTCAAGGTCTCAAGAGTGGTAGAGTCGGGATTCGAACTGGGCTCTGTCTCCAAGGCTCTTACTATTACCCTTCACCATGCAACAGACTCATTTGTTTGTGTTACAGCAGAACTGTCCACCCTAGGCTGTCAGCTCTGTGACACCAAGGAATATGTCTGGCTTCTGTACCACATGGTAGGCGCTCAGGAAATATGTGTTGAATGAATGATTAGATGAAGGAATGAACCTGTTAGGATGCAAATCTCCCTGCCTATCTCTTCTATCCATCTGGCAGTAGCAATACAGCAAGCTGTATGGATTAATGGAAATGAGTTTATTCCATGCTCTACAAGAACAGTTCTCTATAAAACGAGACCCACTGTTGGTAATTCTTGGAAGAGAAGTCCAAGAACAGACAGGGCAGGTGTGGAGGGGGTTGCTAGCCACCTGGAGGTACACCCATAGAGCAAGGAGCCAGGTGCTGAAGAGGAAGGGAGAATGTCCAGTCTGTGTCGGGCCCACCTCAGATGCACAAATCTTGCAAATGAAGTACTTGTGCATATGCATAAGTACTGTTATAGAGTGGAGCAATTTGTGTCTAATTCTCCCACCATTTGCATCTCACAGAAGTACCTGTTTTGTGATTCTCGTTTCCCAATGCAGGCGGAATACACTAAGAGCCCAACTGCAAACTTCCCCTCCAATGTTCTGTCCTGCAGATCCCTGTCATCCAGTAAGGCTGGCCCCAGTGGCCCCTCCAGCCTCTCAGATGGGGAGCTGGCCCGGAACTTGCAGGACAGTGTCAAGCACCGCATCCTGTACCTCTCAGAGCAGCTGAGAGTGGAAAAGGCCAGCCTGGACAGGAACACTGTGGGCTTCCTCAAGCTGGTGTCCACAGCTGGCCGGCAGCAGGCCCCCCACGTCTGGCAGGCCTTAGAGAAGGTGAACCAGCGTGCCTCTGCCACCGTTGCCCAGATTGAGCGAAGGCTCCACCGGTGTCACCAGCAGCTGCAGGAGCTGGAGGAGGGCTGCAGGCCCAAGGGCTTAGTGCTGAGGGCAGAAAGCAGCCTGGGGTACAACCGTGAGCAGCCCAGCGAGAAGGCTCTGTTTCAGAGTCCCCCAAGCCAGGTGCGGAACACTGCCCATCCACCGACCTGTTTGATGTAATTAGACACCTCTCTCCAGAGAGTCACTCCGCAGCCTTGCAGCAGGGGAGGTCCTCGGAGACCAAGCATGGGGCCCAGCTGTGAGCCCTGCTGTGGCAGAAGGTGAAGGAAGAGCGGATCAAAGTCAAGACCTTCCACCTCAGCTTGCAGGTGTCCTATCAGAGCCTCAAGGAGCGGTATGTGACCAACCTGCAGGCATCGCTGGAGTCCCTCTGGGAGGAGAAGTGCAGGTGAGGCAGACCCCTTGGCCGCCTGAGCTCTGGGGTGGGTGGGGGGTGTCTGTGTTCCTCTCATCCCCTGCCCACCGTGCACGCCTGCCTGGCCCTCTCCCGGCCAATGGGGCTCTGACTGGGCTCACACCGGCCTGCGGTGGCGGGGGGGCCAGCAGATGCCTATCGTCAGCCAGTCAGGTGTCCGCTGGTCCCCATGTGCCGGAGAGGTGTATGATGCATGACTGGAATCGCCTTGCCAGCCCTGGTTCCTTCACCTGGGCTCATGGCTAAGTTGGGGCACAAGGTCCTGTGTGGGTTATTTGTTCCAACAATGACTGCCTTCTGCAGAGTGCTTCCCCCCGCCCCCCTGCCCCTGTGTGGTGGGTTGATATTATTTTCATCTAAGGTCAGACTAGGGCCCACCAACAGGAAAAAAGGTGAACTCAGTCTCTCAAAGGACCCCCCCATTTCTTTCTTTTTTTTTTTTTGCAGTACGCGGGCCTCTCACTGTCGTGGCTTCTCCCGTTGTGGAGCACAGGCTCCGGACGCGCAGGCTCAGCAGCCATGGCTCACGGGCCCAGCCGCTCCGTGGCATGTGGGATCTTCCCGGACCGGGGCACGAACCCGCGTCCCCTGCATCGGCAGGCGGACTCTCAACCACTGCGCCACCAGGGAAGCCCTCCATTTCTATCTGGACACTTCCTGGGGTCCCAGCCGCCCTCAGAGGTGCCGTACACCCTCCTCTGCATTAAATAATCCTTACAGCAGCTTCACCAGGCAGGGAGGGATTCACTGAGATGAGCCCACATTCCCAGCACTTTCACGGAAGAACTCTGCAATCCCTTTAGCATCTGTGTGTTTGTGGGGAAGTGGTGATGGGAATCAATCGTCTTGTTTTCACAGAGAAATCCTACCCACATTGACGCCACCTGACAAATCCCTCAAGAGCAGTTAAGGAGTACGAAGGTTCAACCCATGGTCAAATAAGGTAGCCAGTGAGAATTCAGATTTCTTTTGGAGGTGATTTTCTTTTTGAAATTTTGAATTTTATTTTATTTTTTATACAGCA